GCAAAGAGAAAATGAGGGTAGTCAGCTTCGTTTGAATAACAACAACATGACATTACTTTGCCTATCCATTTCTTACCAATGACGTATTTCATGATATGAGAAAACAAAATGTTTATTTTGAAGACAATTTCAAATCTTTTGGAGCTATTACTCCAAAAATAAGTAAACTGAGCTAGGTGCAAAAATCAAGCAAAAAGTACGAAGAAAGCCAAGTAATTTCTGAATCCGTGAAGTTCAAACCTAGCGCAAAACTCTATTTTTTTGTATTACTCCTAACATTTCCTCAATACTTCCAAAATTGCACTACATACCAAGTTGCTTTTCTAAAAACTAAGAGTTTCTACCGTTTCAATCATAGTTCATTTGGTCTGAACAACGTATACATGAAAAAAGGACTGCACCGAAAAGACATACTTCTTTGAGGCTGTTATGAACCAACACGCGCAAAAGTGGGAATTTACAAATAGACAACAATTTCTAACATAAGACATAAAATTCAAACATAAAGGATTTCAAGCATAAACATGTTCACTTCGGAACAAAAAAAAATTGGAAAGAAAGGATAATATGAACCCACCTGCTGGATTTGGGTAATATTCTGGTGCTGATGTTGCATCGCATACTGCTGATGTGGAGGCAACATTGGGGCAGGACTGAACTGTTGAGCTTCTGACTGCACACTAGGCGGAGTAGGATAAATGTGATTCATTGATGGATCTCCACAAGATGGTGGACCTCCTATTCTGGGCCAACCATAGTTCATAGACATCTAAAACAATATTTTCGAAACCCATTGGACCGGATATAAAATGCTTGTACCGCAGCGTAGGCTTCTGGTCTCTCATTGCTTGCTGGTGGTGACAATAAGTTGATGTTGTCGGTAGGAACCCCAACAACTGAATCATCTACGTCCATGGCATCATAAGGTGCTCCTTGACCAAAATGAGTCTCATAAAGACCCGGCATCTGACCCATTCCTGATGGTCCTTCACCTGAGATACGCGGAACTTCTCCATTATATTAAAGTGACTTTCAATAAATTACCAATAGCCCTAGTTTCGTCAAAGTCTGAGCATGCCATCTGTTCTTCAAACTCCCACTCTGAGTCGCTATCGCATACAGGTGTGACGCGACCTGCATACGGTGAAACTCTAGCCTCCATTTCCTCCTAAAGTCAGATATATTGGCGAACAAATCGAAAAAATAAGATAACTGATCGCAACAAACCCCCATAGTGGTTGATAGGAATGCCATGTCTAAAGAGTCTAAGTCAGGCCATTCAATGCTATCTTTCGATTTCCTAGAACGCCTTTTCAAGCGAACTTGGACGTCAGGCTAAACAAAAATAGATGAAAAGCTGTCGAAAATAGGATCACGTGAAATTTCTCGTGGAAAACTCTTGAACCTACCTTATCTTTCAAATCCAATTCCGCACTTATTCGGGTCATCGTCACGGTAGGATCTGACTCCGGAACTCTTCTTCGATGCTCATCAAGTTCAGGAGGAGGGGAAGTTGTGGCGGGTATCTTAAAACCCAGATTTGAAAGTAGTCTTGCTGATTGGAAAATAACAAAACTTACAGTTTCCTGACTGCCAGGCTGTTCTGGGCTTGCGGGTATCTTGATGCTAGGAGGATAACTAGAGCGGCGCTTTTCGCCAAAACGTCTACTATGATAAGACATGTAATACGGATCTTCCCGTAACGTGGGATTGTAGTAGCAATTATAATCACGCTGACGCTCCTCTTGGCTAGCCGTTGGAGGCACGCGAGATGTGCTGAAACTAGATCCCTTCAAACTTAGTTCAAAAAGTCGCAACACTAATGTACGACTTAACCACAAATCCTCATAGACTATTTTCTTTTATGATCGAATCAAATCTCACTAAGTTTGTTGACAGAGAATGCCACACTGGATTCATTACAACTTAGGTAAAACTTTCTCAACACGTTAATTTAGTTGAACAAATTTAAACGAAAAAGAATAGATAAAAATTCAGAAAATATCAGCTCTAAAAAGATTTGGAAAGCCGCAATAATGATAATTTTGAGGAGTAATGGTGAGTTGCTTACCTGCTAGGCTGGAAGATTTGGTTGAATACATCTTCCGGAATTTGCTCTGCTGGCGCACTAGGCCATGAGCAATTCGTACACGGGGAAACAACCTTAAGGTCTCAATAGAATGAGCTGACACAGAAGCGATTTTCAGATATTTAGAGAGTGCCCAAATGGGAACTTCCAAAGGTATAATCTTACAACTAAAATATTCGCAAAATTATAAATCAAAGTTCCAAAAACGCAATGTTCAGTTGAAACAGCTGTACTCAGCCATCCATTTATGAAACTCAAAGATCACGAAACAAGCCAGAACTGAAGGTGAATAGCATACCTTGATAGGAGTGAACGGACTACATGCAAGATTCTCATCATCACTGGAATTGCAGGGTGTTGCAGCACCGAAATGATAACTGAAAATTTTTTCTCAAAACAGAAACACTTAACATTATCGTAACATAGTAAAAAAGAGAGAAAAAGACTGCCAACGCATTTTATCGGCACTGAGAAAATAGAAATTCTTTAACAAAATCAACGATGGTAGTCTACTCATGTATAGGAAGCTAAATTTTGTTAAAAAGTGACATCTCTAATGAACAGAGTTGCAGGATCTAATGCCCACCTTGCGTCATCAGCGCTGCAATAAATGCCCGTAACAAGGCTCTGCTTGTTTGTGTCAGCCCATGCGGGTATATCAGATGTCTCATCGTCAGAACTATCCTGCTCACTACTAACTGATTCGCTAGGTGAAGCAATTTCTTCGGAAGGTTCCGACTTCAAAGGAAACCGACGATGATATGAATGTCTGCAAATTAACTTTCAGATACTGTAAGAAATTAGATTGAAACTTACTTTGATCTTCGTTTGCTCTGCCTCTTCATCAGAGTGTAAAGGGGGTTAGTCTTGACCAGTCCAGGCTTTTGTGCCACTCTAATAGGCGCGGCTAAGGGACAATCTACTACTGGCTCTCTCTCGAGAGAAGCCCAATATTCAGGCGATGGCTGATGCGTACAATTGTCACAGGAACACGAGTCGTTCTTGCTGGGATCGATGAAATTCCACCTGAAAGATTGATATTCAGCAGTTGTCATAAGATGACAACTGAAAAGTGAGGATTTTACCTTGTGTCATCATCGGTCTGAGGAGGGAACGGTGCTTGAAAAGGTCCTACTTGGGGAGGTGGCAAAGGAGTCGGTTGGGAACGGGCCGGGCTCAAATACGCATTTTGAAGAACCCCCTGCATGTACGAATGACCATTTGCATTCGACACTAGCAGCTGATTCCGACGGCCGTTGTCTGGCGCTGAAAAATGTAAACAATAATCGCAAATATACATTTTGATTTGAATTTAAGAGTGAATGGCTACTATTGGATGGACAAGTTTTTGAACACTGACTTCAACTAATGTTAATTTTTGTACTAAGGGGAGGTTAGGTTTATAACCATAGAAAGGACACTCGATAAAAACAGCCAATCTTGCACAAATCTTGTGTTCATAATTTTTCAGTTCAGAGTTGGCCATCTTCAACATTTAAAAAAAAATTATGAAGACGCTCTTCCCTTCATCGTCAAAGCGAAAATTTTGTAGCATAATAAAAAGGTGGAAAACAACGGCTACGATCTAACGAAAAAAAAAATGTTTTTCTATATATCAAAAACATAGAGTGGGCGTACTTATTAGTTCATCAGGAGTCATGGATGGAGCCACCGGTTCGTCACTGGAACATGAAGCGGCATCATCCTCCATTGTCACGCAAACATAACAGGAAGGATATAGCATGCGAATTCCATCGATTTCAACAGGAACCATACGTGGAACTCCATCTTCCTTTAAAAAAAACCATTCCAGGTTTTGTTAGCCTTGTCATATTGACTCCCTTACCCGATTATCATCATCAGTATCATCGAGATCTTGAGCTAAAGACGATACAAATTCTTTCCATTCTTCCCACTGTTTCTCAGCACTAGGCTGATTTCGACCTATTTCCGTGTCTGGTGGTAAAAGAACAGCACGAAGTGACCACGGACCGACAACTACTTGCACTCTTTTGCCGCATCCAAGATGCCTAGATAGATGAGTTTGAACCTGAGACTTGCTAAAAACGCACAACACTGTACATGCTTTTTTGTAAAAGATACGCATTTCTCAAAAGGACCTACCTCTTCGAAAGACGCAGAAGTGGCGGTTGCCGTTGTGCGTTTACGGTCATGCACACTGTATTACCACCATGTACAAAGAACTGCACGTTGGTAGCCATAACATAACTGTTTAAAAAATGATTAGAACACGAATCTCAAAGAGGTTTAGCTAGATCTTGTTTACTAACTGAGGAAGAAGATGTTGCCTTCCTGGAAGCGGTTGCCTAAGTGGCCGTGTGAACCATCGACCGAAACGCACAAATCCATCAAGTGCCATACTTCGCTCAATCATCGTATGTAACGCTTGGAACAGCAGCACTCGCACCTCATAATTTATTCCATTCGCAGCCGTACCGACTCCATTGTTATCAGCATCTAAAAAACCTTAAGGTTCTCTTAAAAAACTATTTCGATTAATAGGCAAACCATTACAGCGAAAAGTATCCTGAGACTTATGAAAGAAGTAGAAAGTATGAAAGTATAGTATAAAAAGATAGAAGATATATAAAAGATATATAGAAAGATAGTATGAAAGAACTTTACCCTTGTACTAGAAAACTATAATTCGTTATGCTTCATAAGATAGAAACGTAATTTAAGAAAAGAATTTTTTCAAAAAACGCAACCCACATACCAAGATGGGAAGTGTTGATTGAGAGCTTCTCAGGAGGGTCGTTGGAATACCAAAAGAGCCATAATTCCTTCGAAATTTCGTTAGTGAAGGAAGGAAGCGGAAGTGGCTCATTGGGTTTCAATTCTAATGGTTTCCTCCGCCATGTACATATAAGTCCATCCTTAAACTTTTTTTTTAAGAAAGTTGCTTACAAGAAAAGGCTAATTAGACAGTGGCATTTTAAAAAGGATATGTACTGGTATGCAGTTTGAGACGCTGAATCTAAACTGTTCGTATCTGCGAAGCGATTTTCCAAAAGATGTGTAGAAGTTTTTTGCTTTCAAAAATGAATTAAGACCAGCGAAAAATGTCCAAAAGTGATATCTCGATTTAGAACAGCACCATGGAAGCTGGGTATTGTTGTAATGACGTTTTTATCAAATGACTATTTTTGACTGCTGTTTTAAGTCGAATTTGGGTTTCAAGGTCAATTATTAAGGGGCTGTTAGGGTACTTTCGGCAGATAAAACTTTATAACTCTTTTTTCAGACGCAGATACTAAAGATAGATTTGAAATCAGCGTTTCAAACTGCATCTAATATGCATCTCTATTTGAATCGTCACTTCGACCAAGTATCGTTCCTTTTTTTGCAAAGAAGAGACACGGAAGAAAAATGTGAAGAAATAGATTTTAAAAAATGAAGCATAAATACAGACCCGCAGACAGTTTCCATACGCTTTCAAAATGGGGTCGCTTTGAACGGGAATTCCACGAGGCGAATTCGACGGCGTCAAAAAACATCGCCACTTCAGGCCGTTCAGCTCGGTCTGTAATTTCATGATGCACACACACCGGCTGCGATGCGAACACTTTCAAAAACATCCACAGAATGCCTTCGATTGTTTAACAAAGGAACACCAGCGCAAAAGCTTACCAAAGCGTAGACATTTGAGAAGCAATCCTCCAAGCTGCCACCATTTATCGCCATGATGGCGTTTTAGTTATCCGAAAAGATACAAGAGATGCTACACAAGATCCTGAAAATATTTTAACAGCATTATATTACAAAAGGACAGGTGTATGTTCAAATAAAAAGATTATAAAAGTTTGAGAACATGATACTTTAAAAAACAAGTTTGGCATATGTGCTTCTGTGCGTTCCTTCAAGTTAGTTGATGTGAACCTCTAGCTGGATAGGAAAAGAAGACAAAACTCCATGAGAAACAATCTTTGAAAGCAACAAATGTCTAAGATGAGCGAGTTTCATATCATCTGCACTGTCCTCTCGCTCATTACTTTTTCATTGCTGATGCTTGCAAATATAAAAACTTTGTGGCGCAGACTCGGCGCAGTTTGAATGCCGTCCTTTGTGTAAGCAAAGTGATGGTCATCGATATCTCAAAAGAGGCTATTTTCAGATCGATATGAAAGAGCTTTATAACTAGATGAAGTCAATTGAATGTGCTAAAACTATCAACCACAAAATCGAATGTTATTGGCACTTCATCTTTGAGAAAAGTATGTTCAGTTGAGATCCAGGTGACCCAAACTAATTCAAACTTTGCAGCCTGATATAGTTGTCCGAAACAT